GAGAGGCTTTCTAGATGCAGGGTGAAGGGTGGTGTTGGGGGGTCTGTGGAAGGCAAGAATGGGGTGGAGAGAGAGGCAAGAGTCAGTGCCAACAGTTGGCTTAAGGGAGAGTCTGAGGGACCAGAGAGATGGCTTGGTGGTTAAGATTGTGAACTGTTCTTACAGACAATGTGAGTTCAGTTCCTAGCACCTACTTTCGACAGCATGTAACTCCAGCTCCAGGGGATCTGATGCCTCAGGTCTCTATGGATATCTGTACTCTGTACACACACACACACACACACACACACACACACACACACACACACACACACACACACTTTTCTCTTAAACAGAAAAGCCAGGTGTAGTGGGCACTCCTTTAATCCCAGTACTCAGGAGGCAGAAGTAGGTGTATTCTATGAATTGGAGACCAGCCTTGTTCCATAACAAGTTCTAGGACAGCCAAGCCTACATAGAGCGACTCTGTCTTAAAAAAACTGGAAAGAGAGAGAGAGAGAGAGAGAGAGAGAGAGTGCATTCTGGGCTTCCTAAGAGACTAAGGTTGTGTGTTCTTCACTTGATCTTAGCTAAAAGGCTGAGATGCGATCGAGTTGTGTATTCCCAAACTAGCCTCAACTCTTCAATCTCCGTTATTCTCTTACTTCCTAGGAGAGAATTTGACTTCCTAGAATGATGTGAAAATTTGAAACTAAAGCCTAGGGTCGAAGCCAGGCTAACCAATGACTTGCTAGATGGCCTTTTAGTCTGTTTACTCGCTGACAAAATTAGGATAACATCTCTGGTTCATGTTGTAACGATCAAATCAGACGATAGACAACATTTCAAATTGTAGCATGTACCAGAGATGGCTCTGTGATAAGGAGCTTGCTGCCAAGGCTGATGACTTGAACTTCATCCCCAGAACTCACATTCTAGAAGAATGCAAGCTGTCCTCTGACTTCACGAATATCACATGGCATATGCACACACACACTTACACACTTAATTTAAAGGCTTATTTTGAAAGCTGCCCAACATGGGTGCTAGGAACTGAACTCCAGTCTTCTCCAAGAGCAATTATGCACTCTTAACCACTCAACTACCTCTTCAGCTGCAAATACATTTTCTTTCTCTCTCTCTCTCTCTGTCTTTCTCCCCCCCCTCTCTTTCACAATATAGCCTGGCAAGATTGTTTGGGCTAGTGACCTGAGTTCGAGCCCCAGAACCCACATAGATGGGTGGGGAGACCCAACTCCACAAAGTTGCCCTCTGACTTTTGCACGTGTGTCATGTCGTGCATGTGTGCACGCGCATGTGTGTACACACACACACACACACATCCTCTATAAATAATAATAAATTTACATTAAAAATTATAAGACATGTCTTACCATTATTTATCTCATAGTTAATAACTCTGGTTGATTTAGTTACGACTGTTTTCAATTCTGCTCCTTCCCTGATTGGGTTCGGCTCTTCTCTATTCTCCTGCATACTGTTTCTGTAGACCTTTCTAGATTCTGAAATGCTCTTATGGAAATCTTCCCAGAGAGTATACTTGAAAGCTGTCCAAAAACTGGGTGTAGTGGCAAAAACCTGTGATCCCAGAACTTGGGAACCTAAGGCAGGAGGATCATAAGTTCAAGGATGACCTGGGTCATGTAGGGAGACTTTACCTCAAACAACCAACCCACCCTAACTTGGACACAGAACTATCTCTATAGCCCTGTACAAGATTCTCCTTCAATCGGCTCCAGCCTGCCTTCTATTCTCTCTTTATACACTCTGTGCGTTGGCCTAATTAAATGTCTTACTTTTGCTCAGCCTCCCACATTCTTTATCGTCCATTTCCTCCACTCCCACAAGGCCTTGCCCCATTCCTGGTCAACATTCCTTCTTTCTCCTAGGCTTTGTCTTGGGTTTTCTCAGTAGCACTTTGTATGCATTCCTGTGGCAACATTTATCACACTGTTTGGTAAACATTAGTTTGGGAGTCTACTAGACTCCAAACTTGGAGCCCCTGGAAGAAAGACACCTGTTTATCACTGGTTATTCCTTACTGTTGGAACAAATGGACATTTCTGGCTGAATGACTAGAGGTAGTAGGTAGGATAGGAAAAGTGGGATAAAGAGGCATTAAGGCTTGAAGATTATTAAATAGATCTTTTAATACCAGGAGGAAAAAAAACATTGGCTATGAGTAAGCAGGGAGTTTACAGTGAAGGCAGTCCTCTAGTGAGCCCCAGAAGATCCCAAGAGTATGGAAGTCTGGTAGTTAAGCATGAGCAACCAAAAGCAAAATGCTGATGACTAAGAGACCACACAGGGACCGAGGCATGCTGTTGGGCATCCTGTCAAGTTTTTTTTTTCCTGCTGCATGTTACTTGAGTATCCGTGAGTATGATGAATTAATAGTGATGTATTTTCCCCCTTTGGAGTCTCAACTGTTGTTTAGTATGAGTCTACAGTTTTATCATGACGTCTCTGCTCTGGAAGTGTCTGTAAAAGGAATCAGGGACGGGGCTGGAGAGGTGGCTCAGCAGTTACGTGCATTTGCTGCTTTTCCAGAGCCTATGAATCCAGTTCCCAGCACCCACGTCAGGTGGCTCACCACCACCTGTAACTCCAGCTCCAGGGAGTGTTGCTAGAGTTTTCCTGCCTGGCCCACAGTCAGGACAAATCTCTCTCACCCGCCAGTCCCAAGCCCCTCAAAACCGACCAAGAAAACGCAGAGACTTATAGTGGTTACAAACTGTATGGCCGTGGCAGGCTTCTTGCTAACTGTTCTTACAGCTTAAATTAATCCATTTCTATTAATCTATACCTTGCCACGTGGCTCGTGGCTTACCGGTACTTTACATCTTCCTTGTCCTGATGGCGGCTGACAGTGTCCCCTACTCAGCCTTCCACTTCCCAGCTCTATTCTCCTCCTTGTCCCGCCTATACTTCCTGCCTAGCCAATGGCCAATCAGTGATTTATTTATTGACCAATCAGCAACACATTTGACATACAGACCATCCCACAGTACTGGGAGTCCTAACACTTTCTTTCTCAGGTACCCTTGTGCACATGCAGACACAAAGACATAAATAAAAACAAAACAAAATTGTACAAAAAGTCCGGTAAGTGTATGTTTAAGGTAGTGGGGAGGGAAAAGAGAGAAAGATAGAGTTTGGCTGATTTGCCCAACGTTAGAAGAGGACCACACAGGGAAGAAGGCATGCTGTTGGCACGCTCCCAAGTTCCTGGTACATATTACTTGAGTATCCATGATAAATGAGTGTGCCCTTTTTGCTCACAGATGCATCTTCAATGCTCAGAATAGTATGGGACATAAAATAATCTTTTCAATAAGTACTTGTTGAACGAATGACTAAGACATTTGGGTGATAACTTGGGAGAGGTTAGATCCAGTTTCTCAGTATGCCATTTGAATTCTGCCTGGACCGCTCAGCTGTTCTCGGCGCAGGGGCTCCAGTCTCAGGCGGGTTTGGGGGTGATGAGTGACAGCAAGGTAAGCAAGAATAACTGCAGGTTTGCATTGTAACGATTCAGAAGCCCAAGTGACAGAGCCTCTTCCCTGACTCTTCCTTAAAAGCCTTGAGTAGTCCCACAGACAGCTGGGCTTAGGTCAATTTACAGTCTCCAAACTTGGGCAGTCCTGGGTCAAGTCCTGCTCCTTGAGTAGGGGCAAAGTCCAGTTCCACTTCAGCTGAAAACAGGAACTAGTGGTTCCCTAAAAGAAAATGGGGTTCTGTCACCAGAAGAAGGGGGACAAAGGCTGACAGAGATGACAGGTGTCTATCGCCCTGTACATAAATGTTTCCTTCTCTCTGTTTTCATACCAGCCCAGTGAACCTGTGCTTGTTGATAAGATCTTATTCTAAATACCACCCTCCCATCTCTGCCTGTCTACAAGAGGCCTTCCTCATCCCCAGATGCCTGGTTCAAATATATTTCCCTCATGAGTCTCCTTTTTGAACGGAGTCCCATCCTTCTTAATGCCAAATTCAGGGCCAGGGAAGGGCACACAGACTCTGCTGTATGACCTACCCTGAATCTCCTGACCTGTCCGAAAGCAGGCATTACCACATTCACAGTGTCCATGAGAGCACCAGGGTCCAGAGGTGAGTCACTTGTCTTCAGTTCCAGCAGAGCTGAGCAGTGGAAAGACCACACCAATCACTTTCCACCAAGCCTAGCCATTTCCATAATCTACCCTTCATTCTCCAGCCATGCTGTCGTGTGTCCTGTTTGCATTGTACCGGAACTTGAGACCCGGAGAAGAAATAGTTTACTTAAGGCTCCAGGTGCATTAAGGAAGGTTTGCAGAAGACAGATACCATCGTTGGATAATAAAATCCTTCCGGGAGCCAGGTCTGAAACAGACATTAGGGCACAGTAATCATTTTTTTTCTGAAATGTGCATTAGTGTTTTGCTTACATGTATGTCTGTGTGAGGGTGTCAGATCCCCTGGAAATGGAGTTATAGACAGTTGTGAGCAGCCATGGGGTTGCTGGGAATTGAACCTGTGTCCTCTAGGAGAGCAGCCAGTGTTCTTAACAGCTGAGCCATCTATCTCTCCAGCCCTCACAGTAATCATTTTAACCATCCTTTCAAATGGATGTTTCCCCCCTCCGTTCGATCAAGGCTGGGAAAGTGGTGTTTGTAACTTCCCTGGGGTTACATACACTGCTCTCACGATTACTTATTTTTATTTATTTTCTGAGACAGTCTGGCTGTGTAGTCACAGATGGTGGTCTCGCTCCTGAGCGCCCGCGTGTTAACTTTGCAGTCCGCGCGCCCCATGCCTACCTCCTGCAGCAAGCACGGTGATTGGGTGCCCCGCGAGGGCCACCAGGGCGCGCTCGCAGCTAGGCGCGAGGCCGCCGAGGGCGGGAGGCTCTGTGATTGGGAGGCGCGGCTGTCAGTTAGCCGCGGGCGGGGCGGGGGGCGGGGGGGGCGTGGCCTGCATGAATAAGGCGCGCTTCAGCGCGTCGAGCGAGCGCTCCGCCGCCGCCGCCGCCGCCGTCGCCGCCGCCCGCCCGCCGGACGACGAGGCGCCCCCTGAGGGGCGGAGGAATCGGGCCTGGGGAGCGGGCGCTGAGGGAGGAGCCAGGTCGGAGCTGCAGAGGGCCCTGGCGAGGAGGTGGAGGGCTGAGGCCCGGAGGAGGCCCCCGCCGCGATGGGCAACCTGGAGAGCACCGAGGGCGGTCCGGGCGAGCCGCCCTCCGTCCCGCTGCTGCTGCCGCCCGGCAAGACGCCGATGCCCGAGCCGTGCGAGCTGGAAGAGAGATTCGCCCTAGTGCTGGTGAGACCCGCGCGGCTTGCTTCCTTCCCGCCGCTCCCCCCCCCCCCCAAACCCCCGCCGCGTCCCGCCCACCCCCGCTGCCCGGTCAACCCCTGACCCTGCCAGCAGCGCCGGCTCGGGCGGGGGCTCGCACGGAGCAGCCCGTCGGGGGTCGGGGAGGAGGGGTCCCCAAGCCCCGGACCTGCCCGCCGTCCAGACTCCTCCCCACTTCCCTCGGACTTCCCGGTCCGCGGCCGGAATTCCATTCCCGGGACCTCGCTGGCGGGGCGATTTCGGAAGCGGTTGGGTTCCCCAGCCCAAATCAGGCTTTTCCTCCCGTGTGAGAGTGGTTCTCGCGGCCAGACGAGGATGTTTCGGGGCGGGGGGGGTGGGGTGGGGGCGGGAAGGGAACGGAGAAGGGGCTGGCTGCTGTTCTTGGGGGGTGGGGTGGATGGAATACGGAGTGATGCCATTCTTATTCAGAACCGCATCCTGCTAAGTTAGAGTGCCTTTGCCTGGGTTGAACATGTGGATAAGCCATTTGACTAGGCAATTTTTTCCCCCCAATTGAAACAATACACAAACCATTCCGCCTGATTTTTCCCCCCTTGTTTCTTGTTAAGCCTTGGTGACTGGTTTGTATTCCTTTGCCTGTGGTTCTTTGTAGTCCTTCTGTGGTTTCAAAAGGGATGGTCTATAAAGATGCACTTTCAGAGCCGACTAGGGGATTCTCCTTTGCTCTGGGACTTGGACACTGATGTGAATGGCTTTGTGACTAGAGAGATAGTATAGCAGGTACCACTGAGATGAAGCTGGACCATGTGTTGAAGCTAAACGTGAAGCTTTAGAGAAACTTGAACATCTGCTAAGACAGAAATCTGAAAACTCGGGGAAATAGCTTTAGTTCCTCCAAAGAACTCTTAGTAATAATTCTGGTGCATTGTTGGTATAGCCCGAAGGGCTGCCTCTGCCTGTGAGGAGGGATAAGTTGTAGACTTAGCAGCCTTCTTGGATTTCATCTGCCTTGGAAGAGGGAGATTGGATCTGTTGGCAGCAGTGGAGCTGTCTAGAGATCCTGCCTCTGCAATGTGGAGAGCCTGACATCAGCTCACTGGCACCAGCTTGGACTCAGAGAGTCCAGGATGTTCCAGAGAGTTGTTCCAAGGGCAGCAAGCAAGGATCCCAGCTTTGGTACTTGTTTCACATCAGGGCACACCTAGAAAGGACCACTCAGAAACTTCAGCTGCCCCTGGGAAGAAGCAAAATCAGTATGCTGGAACACCTAAGGCACTGGCTTGGATTAGGACTCCTGGGATCAGTGTCCTGAGCAAATCACCTCAGGCCTCAAGCTCTCCAATCTCTGCTGACCCGTCTATGTGGGTCAGATTATGTGTCTCCACCAGAAAGCCAGGCGTCTGTGGTCTTGACTCAGCACTGATACAACTTCCCCAGCCAGAGTGTTTTTTAGGGGGGTTTCCGTAAATGCAGTGGGGTTTGTGAAGCCCTCCTCTGACAAGAGCAGGCATATCCTGTGACTGGGTATGTAGCATAGAGTAGCTACCTTCCAGCGATTTCTGAACCTCAAACTCCTTTGGGGGAATGCAAGTGATCTCAGATCTGAGTCACTGTTGAGATCAACTTCAAAGTTGACATTGCTGAGCACATAGTGCATGGCAGACTTCCACTTTCATTCAGTCTACACAACAGCCCCATGTGGTAAGTGCTGTTATTACCCACATTGTAGAGGAAAGTGGGACTCAAAGGGATTCAGTAGTAACTTAATGTTAACTACCTGACCAGAGACTGAAGAAAACTGTTTGAGTTAATTCTGACTTGAAAGTCCATGTCCTAAACCAGGATTCCAGGATGTCACTCTTCACCTACCAAATAGCTTTTCCATAAATCCAGTCTGTTGCGTCGAAGCTGACAAATTGGGAAAGAGGGTGACAGAGGAGCAGCTTGTCTGTTTTATATCATCAAGAAAAGAAAGTAGCCTACACTGAGCACCTACTCAGTGCTGATTCGTTACACTGTCTAGTTCTCAGTCCTGCCGGGACCAAATCATCAGCTGCAGCTCCTGTTTGCCATCATGAGTAATACTGCGGCGAATACTTGCTGTGTGAAACTTTCCTTAGGATAGAAACTTTGAATTGAACTTGATGAATTAAAGGGCTATAAATTGTTTTTTATTTTCTAAGAAGTTTATTTATTACGATCATGTGTGACTCCACACTTGCAGGTGTTATGGCTTGAATGTAGAAGTCAGGGGACAACTTTTGGGAAGGAACCCTTCTAACGTGGGTTCTGGGACTCGAGCTCAGGTGGTCAGGCATGCCTGGCAGGAGATTTTTACCTGCTGAGCCATCTTGCCACCCCTGTAAATTGCTTTTAAGGTCCTTAGTAGGTATTTGCAAATTGTCTTTCAAAAACAACAATGTGGTTTGGTACGGTAGCCATGCCTGTAGTCCCCCGTGAGGCCAAGGGAATAGAGTAGTGACATAGTGAGTTACATTGTGAGCCACTGTCTCAAAACCAATCTTCACCTCCAGAAAAATGAGTGTTCCCCAGGTGAGAGAAGAGGATTAGGGATGGCTTTTTCTCTCTTGATTATAAAGTGATATATTTTAATTAAGCAGATTTGGAAATTATGGAAAGAGAAGACAATCATCTGTACTAGTAGTTTTTTCTAGTAATATTTTGACAAACTTAAATATATTTTAACAATTAAGATGATACCCCAGATTGTGTTTTTTTTTGTTTGTTTGTTTTGTTTTGTTTTTTGGAGACAGGGTTTCTCTATGGAGCTTTGTGCCTCTCCTGGATCTTGCTCTGTAGCCCAGGCTGGCCTCAAACTCACAAAGATCCGCCTGCCTCTGCCTCCCAAGTGCTGGGATTAAAGGCGTGCGCCACTACCACCTGTCCAGGTTGTGTTTTAAACGGAGTTTTTCTTTACAATTTTAAGCATTTTGTAATTTTTTGTTTTGTTTTCCAAGACAGGTTTTTTTTTTTTTTTTTGGTCTGTGTAGCCTTGGCTGTCCTGGAACTTTCTCTGTAGACCAGGCTGGCCTCGAACTCACAGAGTGCTGGGATTAAAGTGGTGGGCCACCACTGCCCAGCACCCATTTTGTAATTTTTTTTTTTTTTTTTTTTTTTTTTTTTGGTTTTTCGAGACAGGGTTTCTCTGTGTAGCTTTGCGCCTTTTCCTGGAACTCACTTGGTAGCCCAGGCTGGCCTCGAACTCACAGAGATCCGCCTGGCTCTGCCTCCCGAGTGCTGGGATTAAAGGCGTGCGCCACCACCGCCCGGCCCATTTTGTAATTTTTAAAGTGTTCTTCGTATCATGGCTGTATGACTACATAGTACTCCACAGTAGAGTATTTTATCACTACCTTATCTTGTAAATTTCTTTTATCTCTATTTTGTTTGTGATGAATTTCCAGTGCACAAATATTTGCCGTCATCTCTGATTGTCTTAGATAAATTTCTAGAAATGATGTTATTGGGCCAAAGGATTAAATGCTTTTTTGAGGCCATAGAGACCTATGCTTTTTTTTTTGGGGGGGGGGGCGTTCGAGACAGGGTTTCTCTGTGTAGTTCTGGTGCCTGTCCTGTCTGTAACCAGGCTGGTCTTGAAATCACAGAGATTCACCTGCCTCTGCCTCTCAAATGCTGGGATTAAAGGTGTGTGCCGCCACCACCTGGCAACCTATGCATTTTTTAAACATTTATTTTGTGTGTGTGACCATGTTTGTGCCGTGGTGTGTGTGTGTGTGTGTGTGTAAGTCAGAGAGCAATTTTCAGGAGTTGGTTTTCTCATTCCGCTGTGTGGGCTCCCAATATGGAACTCTGGTCATTAGACTCTGAAGCAAGTGCCCCAACTCACTGAGCTATCTGGATCCCCAAGACCTAACTATACCTTCTGTTAATTCTATCAGTGACATTTTCTGTCCACCCTAGTAACTTAGTATTTTCTGTCCACCCTAGTAACTTAGTATTTTCTGTCCAATCTAGTAACTTAGTATTTTCTGTCCACCCTAGTAACTTAGTATTTTCTGTCCACCCTAGTAACTTAGTATTTTCTGTCCACCCTAGTAACTTAGTATTTTCTGTCCACTCCAGTAACTTAGTATTTTCTGTCCACTCCAGTAACTTAGTATTTTCTGTCCACTCTAGTAACTTAGTATTTTCTGTCCACCCTAGTAACTTAGTATTTTCTGTCCAATCTAGTAACTTAGTATTTTCTGTCCACTCCAGTAACTTAGTATTTTCTGTCTGCCCTAGTAACTTAGTATTTTCTGTCCGCTCTAGTAACTTAGTATTTTCTGTCCACCCTAGTAACTTAGTATTTTCTGTCCACTCCAGTAACTTAGTATTTTCTGTCCACTCTAGTAACTTAGTATTTTCTGTCCACCCTAGTAACTTAGTATTTTCTGTCCAATCTAGTAACTTAGTATTTTCTGTCCACTCCAGTAACTTAGTATTTTCTGTCTGCCCTAGTAACTTAGTATTTTCTGTCCGCTCTAGTAACTTAGTATTTTCTGTCCACCCTAGTAACTTAGTATTTTCTGTCCACCCTAGTAACTTAGTATTTTCTGTCCAATCTAGTAACTTAGTATTTTCTGTCCAATCTAGTAACTTAGTATTTTCTGTCCAATCTAGTAACTTAGTATTTTCTGTCCACCCTAGTAACTTAGTATTTTCTGTCCACCCTAGTAACTTAGTATTTTCTGTCCAATCTAGTAACTTAGTATTTTCTGTCCAATCTAGTAACTTAGTATTTTCTGTCCACCCTAGTAACTTAGTATTTTCTGTCCACCCTAGTAACTTAGTATTTTCTGTCCACCCTAGTAACTTAGTATTTTCTGTCCACTCCAGTAACTTAGTATTTTCTGTCCACTCTAGTAACTTAGTATTTTCTGTCCACCCTAGTAACTTAGTATTTTCTGTCCAATCTAGTAACTTAGTATTTTCTGTCCACTCCAGTAACTTAGTATTTTCTGTCTGCCCTAGTAACTTAGTAT